TCCACTCAGACCTCAAATTAACCTCTTCAGAGCCACAGCGCGGACTCACTGCTAAAATGTCACTCGAAAGCCTGGCATCAAGTCTGTCACAAGAACAAGAAGTCCCACAAAACCAGTGACTCCAAGACCCTAGGTCATCAACACCACCCACCACCCGGAGGTTATGTGTTCACTACTCCCTTCAAAAGGCTGCTGGCCAGCACTGAGAAGGCAGAGGGAGGCAAATTCCTATGAGTACCAGGACAGCCAGAGCTACACAGAGAAACCCTGTCTCTAAAACAAACAAACAAATAAACAAAAATCTGGGAGTCAAAGAAAACAGTTAAGAACCTTCCTCAGAGCTGCCCTACCACACACAGAGATAGAGGAAGGGGTCCCAGATATGGTCCAGTGAGGAAAGGCACTTGCTGTGCTAAGCAAGCCCAGAATCCTGAGTTTGGTGGGAAGGACAAACAGGACTCTATCCTCTATAGTCTACTCTTCACAGTGTGCTGTAGCGCATGCACCCACACATACCACGGCACACACACAATAAGAACACAGTAGAAGCTTCAGGAAGGACAAGGTTCTTCATAGCTTCACAGACTCTCAGAGAGGCACAAGGGTCTGAGCTCCAAGCAGCTCCTCCTGCACAAGGTTCCTACCGACTTGAGCATGAAACAAGCAGCAGGGCTGAATCTGGCTCTGTGGTCCCATACAGCAGCAACAAGGCACCTGGGCAAGCAGGGTAACAAAAAAGCAAGGCAGGGTGGATGCTGGGTAGGATCCTAACTGTGGGCAACCTTATCACTTACAGATTCTTAAGCTTTAAGTCCTTGGTAAAAGTATTTTAAAAAATATATATAAACCAAAACTTTCACAACCCTACCATAAAATAAAACTCCTAATACTTAGACGCAACCTTGTAGTGCCTGGTCTGTCTCACAGAGCAACCCTGCCAAGCACAATGCTCTCAAAGAGTTAGTCAAACTGCACTCACAACACAAACACCCAGGTCACCCAGACCTCCTACGGAAAGGTCCCCCTCCCAGGCCAGGCCAGCTGAGGCTGCTTCTCCAAACTTCACAAGCTGCTGCAGACCTCAGGCGGTTTCTACTGAGCTTCACATCTTTCTTTGCTTCAAGATCTGCAAAAACAGCTATTATGACTTGATCAACTCAGATATAACCTGCTATTTATAAAAGCGGTTTCCAAATTTATAGCATAAATGGAGGAAAGCGCACGCATAATCACACCAAGGCAGACTTTGAGAGCATCCCCAGAGCACCCCGACTTCCATTTCACTTCAAAGGTGCGGAAAGTCCCACTACCCCACCATGCCCTCCATTCAGCCCAGATTAAGGTGGGCATAGCTCTGGTGCAATTGTGAAGAGATTTAAGAGGCAGCCTCTTCCAGCATTCCCAGTGGCCTGGCCTCCTGCAGGGTCATTCACATCTACCCAAGCCAGGGTTCCTTTCCTAGCAGCCCTAGAATACAGGGCTCTGGCCCAAAAGTGGCAGCGCAAGTACCAGAAAAAAATAAGCCAAGTAGGGAGGCATACAGTAGCATCCAGGCAGCTGGGACAGAAGAAACTCAAGTTCAAGGCCAACATGCATTATAGAACAAGTCCCAGTAATCTAATAAGAGACCCTGCCTCATGAGAACCAAAATCAAAGAGGTAAGATGGGTTATCCTCAAGCCCAGAGCCTTCTAAATACAGCATGAAGTGTTAGACACCATCATCCTGAGAGTGTTCACAGGCCCCTGTAGATGTCAATCATCCATCCCATTACCACATTGCCCAAAGATGACAGGCCAGCAGTGAACAGCACCAGGCAGGAGACACAGCCCAGTCTTGCAAGGGGCACAGGAGTCTGAGGGATTTGTGACGCCCAGCTGCCCCACTCTATCCTTCATGGTTACCAAAATGGTCCTCCTCCTCCTCCTCTCTTCCCCCCTACTCCTCTACAAACTAGGTTTGACCTAAATCAAGCCCCCTGCTGAGGTCCTCTGAGGTAACATGTTTTGGATAAGCTGGTGGTGATCACCCCTGCATGGTCCACCTGTGATTATCACTGGGAACAAGACAGCCCTGCCCAAACTTCTTAGCCACCCTGGATAAGAATTTCCATTCCAATAAAACTAACCTCACAAAGACTTTGCTACTTCGACAGCAACACCATCCTTGAAACAGGGAAAGGACCAGGGCCCCAGGAAGAAAGACCAGCTGTGCCTGTATCTCATCCTCTTCACTTTACAGTCGGACAGACTGAGGCTCCAAAAGACAAACAGTGACTGTGACCTCAAGTAAGAAAAGCTAAAATTCCAAGAACGTCCCTTTAGGCTGCTGCTGCCAAAGTTGGCTTCCAAAAACCCAGCACTGTAACTCCCAGACAGCTCTCCATCCTTGGGGAGTCTGGGAATCAGCCCCCTAGCTCAGGGAGGCACAAGCGCAGTCAGCCAGCAGCAGGCTTCCCTTCTCCGCACATCAACCAGCCACCACACACCACACGTGGGAACCAGCACTGACATGTCCTAGCCACAGCGCCGGCCACAGCATCCCGGCCAATGGAAGGAATGTCCTCTCCTAGACCAAGAACCCACGCTTTAGCGACATGCGAGCAAATTCTAACACACGAAGGAAAAACGCTAAAGCAGCCTGCAAGACAGCATCCTCAACCCAGATCTTCCAAAGCCACCAAAGCACACACTAACTCTGAGGTCCTCTCACCTGCTCCTTCTCCAGCTGTAATCACACTGTGACTTGCCTCCACTGGCTCCTGAGGTGTGCACCAGCGTTCAACCAGCTTTCATGGGACCTCTCTAAACCTCTCTCACTGTGATCAAGCTTAGACTTTAGCACGGGCAAACCAGCAAATCACAATCGCAGTAACATCCCAGCCCCTTTACAGAACTATCCTGACAAGCAAGGTCAGGCCTCAGTGTGTAAGGACAAGTTCAACATGCTTATTAGAAGTTCCTGCTGACCAGTGAAGACGTGACCTCAGAGACCTCAGGTTGAAACCTGTGTCCCTCCCCTTGCCCAGCGTGACCTCTATCAAGAGGGCACTGGGCGGGACTCAGCCCCTTTCACACTCCATTCAACTGCCAATGGCATGCTATTCCACTTGACACCTATGTGTAGCTTTGAAACCTGCCCTCCCTCCCCCAAGACTGTTATTGGCTAAACAGGAGTTTTATTAGAACTTTCACTTATTTTTTTGAATATGTTTTACTGTGAAAGATGTCTATGAAGAAGGGACTTCAGAAAAAGTTCTACACCAGAATGTTTACATCCTCTAACTGTGGTTCCCTATACTGTTTGAAGAAAACCTGACTTTCTAGCACTGGTGGTAGTTTTAACCACCAGACATTAGCTTCGCTTTGGGTGTTTTTAAACTAAGGTAATCAATCAGCATTCCTTATCAAGAGAGCAGCAGAAGTCAGAGGGTGCAGAAGATGGCTATGAGCCTTCTCTTTTCCAGAAAGCAGGCAGCAGCTTTGAAGCAGAGCTCGGGGTGTTTCCACCCAGGTGTCCACTCCCCAACACAAGCATGGGGGCTGATGCAGAGTGCAGAGGAGCGCAAATAACAGGCACGTTTACATTTTTCCCCACGGAGTTACCGTCTGCTCAATCACATCAACCCTGAACCCGACCAGGAAACCAAGCAGTTATGATGGAGACAGCACCAAATGCCCTTTTCAAATGACACTTCCTTCTCCCGGGGAGAAGGGCTTCACTACACGGTACTCAAAAGCAAAGGATCCAGGGTGAGCCAAGATAGCCACGAAAGGATGCCATGGGCACCTGACTACGCGAGCTTTCCTGGTAAAAGGGCAGCATGAGGACATCCTAGCCACGGGAAGGCACTGTGAAAGGACCCCTGGAAAGAACTCTAATACAAAGGTACCAAGTATTACGGCATTTCGCATAGCAGATTACAACTACAAACTGCATCTTAAACTATAAATGTCAGCTATATTTTCCACTCAGAGGTCAGAATGAACATAAAGAACAAGACCTTCATTCACACCGTGCAGTAAACCCCAGATGTGTGGCAAGAGACAGTTGCAGCCCCGGTTCCTCTGTCAGAGAGCCTCCTCAGAACATGGGAGGCCCTGCAACCTCAGAAACACTTGGAGGTCCCGCATCCCTGGGGGCCTGTGATGAGCCTTCCTGATCCTCAGACTTCCACAGCAAACCTCGATTCTCAAGACGCTGCAGCTCTTTCAAAGTGACCCATAGCACTTTTCAGAAAACAGCGAGGACACAGCGGCAGCATGTTTCCTAATTCTCTACTACTGCCACCGCGGCGGGCGGCGCTGCTACTACCGCTGCACATGTCACTATGAACACAGGAGGAGCGCTCGGGGGCTCGCTTCGCTCCAGCCAAGGGTTCAGTGGGGACACTCCAACAGAGGACTCCCAAACAAAAACAGTCTGCGAGCCTGGCAGGGAGTCCCTCAACGAACCCACGGGACCAACCTGCAAACGCTAAGACAGTTTCTGTGCCTGAGCACCCACAGCGCGATGATCACCTGCATCTGCAGACCCCTGCGCACCGAGCGTCCTGCTGACCTCCAGGGGCGGCAACAACAAAAGCACCCAGAGCCCCTTAAGGCACTGATGACCACTGACCCACTCTCTGCTCCCACCTAGTCAACCTCCCTGGCAGCAAGGGGAAAAGTCCATGCCTTCCACCCAGACTTCATCAGCCTGCCCAGGAGGAGGTCGCCCTCTCTTGACCCCGCCTGAGGGAGGAGAGAGGGGTCCCTCAGGTACACGACGGTAGCCCATGGCACTCCCGAGGAAACGGGGCACCAGAGTTCCCCGAGGGCTCTGGGCACTCCAGCACTGGGAAGCTCTCGAGACTGGCAGGTCACCTGGGCAGAGGCTGCCCCTCGGCCTCGCAAGCCAGCCTGGCCAGGGCAGGGCCCCAGGATGCAACCCAGAACTTCCTGGAACGCCTGGGCCGCCCGGTGCACCCGCCCTCGCCTCCCGTCGCGCGCTGCCACTCACCTGGGGGCAGCTGGAAGTTCTGGATGTTGGTCGGGTTCTGCGGCGGCTGCGGCAGGCGCGGGGCCAGTACGGTGGGCGTCAGCGTGGCCCGAATAGCGCCAGTGGTGGCCGCCGGCGTCCGAGGCAGACTGGGGGTCGCCGCGGCCGCGCCCTTTGCCAGCCCCGCGGGGGTCCCGGGCGCAGGCCCCGGCAGCGCGCCCGGCATGGCGGGCCCGAGCAGCACGCCACCCGCCGCGCCCCCGGCCGCGACCCCCGCCGCCGCCGCCGCCGCCGCCGGTCCGGTCCCGGGCACGGGCTTGGGCGCCTCGGCCTTGGCCCCCTGCGCGCCCGCGCCCGGCTGGCCCAGCCCCGCGGCGCCCCCGGAGGCCGCGGCGGGGGCAGGAGCGGCCCCGTTCTGCGCGGCGGCGGCGGCGGCGGGTGACACGGGGGGCGCGGGCGCGGCGGGGTGCCCGGGCGGCCGGGCTGGCGCGGCGGGCGCTGGGGGCGCGGGCGGCGGGGGCGCGGCGGGCGCGGGCGCGGCGGGAGGCGAGGGCGCGGCGGGCGCGGGCGCGGGGGCCGCCTGGATGACAGAGCCGGCGGCGGGCGGCGGCGCGGGCCCGTTGTTGACCGGGCTGACAGCAGGTGCGGCGTGCGGCGCGGTGGGCGGCGCGGCGCTCCCATTCAAAGTTTGCGCGGCGCCGGGGCCGGGCGGGCCAGGCGGGCCGGGCTTGGAGGCGCCGGGGCCGGCGGGCGGGGCGGCGGCGGCGACGGCGGCGGCGGGATCGGGCCCCACGGCGGCGGCGGCGGCGGTGGCGGCGGCGGCCGGGCAGGGCCCCGCGCTGGCCTCGGGCGGCGGCCTCAGCTTGGCGGGCGCCGGCGCGGGCCCTGCGGGGACAAGCAAGCGGCGCGGTGAGCCGGAGCCCGGGTGCCGCGGGCCCCCACCCGCCGGCCGCGCTCTACCTGCGGGGGGCGGCTCCGGCGCCGCTGCGGGCGCGCCCTCGGCGGAGGCGGCCGGCCCTGCGCCCGCGGCTCCGGCCGGGCTGCCGCTCACAACATGGTTCCCGAGCGCGCCGGCGGCCGCGGCCCGCAGCTCGGGCGTGCGCGGCGCGAGGTGGTGGTGGTGGGCCGCGCTGGCCGCCAGCTGCGACTCGAGCGAGCCCACCAGATCGCTCACCACTTTCTCGTCCACCTCGCTGTTGAAGAAAACCTCGTCCAGCAGATCCGAGCCCGCCGCCATCTTTCCTCCTCGCCGCCGCCGCCGCCGCCGCTCGGCCGAGCGCGCCTGGGCAGGAGGAGGTTCCAGCGGGGCGCGGGGCGGGCGGGGGGCGGGGCGCTGGGCGGGCGGGGGCGCGGCGCGCAGGGCGGGGGAGGGGCGGCGCACCGCGCAGGCGCGGCGGCACGCACCGCCCCCGCCCGCGCCCCTGCGCCCGCTGATTGGCTGCGGCTGGCTCTTAAAAGACGCGGCCAATGGCTGCGAGCGCCAGAGGCCGGGGAGCAGGCGAGCGGCTGGGTGCCGGTCGGCTTCTCCGGCGCGGGTGGGATTGGCTACCGGGCCGGGAGAAGCGGGCGGCGGCGAAGCGCCCGGTGGGTCGCGGCTGCGGGCTCGCCCTTTGTCTGCGCTGTTCCAAAATGGCTGCGGCCAGGGCGGGCTGTGAAGGCGGCGACGCGGCGCGGCGCTCCCGAGGCCCGGGCGGTCAGCGAAGAGCGGGAGTCCTGGCACGAAGGCGCTTTCTGGGCGGCTAGCGGTGTGCGGAGGACGCCGCGGGCGCCACGGTCTGCTCCTCTGACTTACGGTTGTGGGGACGAGGACAGCGAGCACCCCGGGCGAAGCTGAACCTCCGGAAGCAGATTTGTTCTGTATTTACTTTGTTTTTTTTTTGTGGGGGAGGGGGGTAATAAATCCTCTACACCGTTGTTTGCAAGCAAACTGTGGGAGTATTATAGTTACTGTTTCACCCCTTTCTGGGCATTTTTTTTCTTTTTTTAAAGCAAAAGGTCGTGTTCTTGGACGTTTCCAGAGGATTTCTTCTTTCCATTTTTTGAAATGGCCCAGAAACAAATTCTATATGGCAAAGGTTCTTGTTAGAACCTCACTGCAACCGACTCTCCCGGGATCATCCTCACTTCGGAGATTTTACCAGTCAGCGCAGAGCCAGTACTGTGGGGGGGAGGGGTTTGACATGGTAATTTTTTTTTTCTTTCCTGTACGTGCTAGTACACACCTGTAATCCCAGAACCTGGAAGATGAAGGCAGGAGGACAAGGAATTCAACCTTCTTTATATATTATTTGGAGGCCAGCCTGGGGCCTCATGAGGCCCTGTTTCAAAAAGGTGGGATGAGGACTCTTCTCAAAAACAGAATATAACTGAACCCATGTGCTGATCCTGTCCTAACCTCTTAAACTAAATGGCTTATTAATAACTATAAAACAAACCTCTCCCCTCCCTACCCCCACCTCACCTGTTCACTAAGCAACAGTGCACTCGCTTGTAAAAAGTATGTTGAGGGAACCTAAGAGAACTTTTATTCCGAAACATTAGCCACCCCCTCCCTAGGTTGGGAAAGAAAGTCGAGTCAAGCAGTAGGCCTGTGTGCCCCTCGCCAAGGAGTACCTAGCTTGGTTTTGGCTTGGCACCCGAGCAGAAACTGGACGTTGTAGATAAAACCTAAGAGCCTTCTTGTGGCACAGGAAAGCACATCCCGGGCCAAGAGCATGCTAGGCCAGGGCAGTACCACCAAGCAACATGCTCCCAACCCCAAATTGGGGTTTTTTCAATGTTGATGACTGGTTTGAAGATCTTAAGGTATATCAGACCATCAGCAGGTTCTTGCTAGTCCCCTGGTGGGTTGGTTAATGAGAACCACCAGTTAGATGTACAGCGGTCTGGTCTGTACCCCAAACCCTTAGATGAGAGGCCAACAGAACAATGGATGCCTATTTAAAAAAAAGGGGGGGCAGATTCTGAGCTCCCAGCCCCAAGGGCTATTTCCATCTCCACACCCTACCCTGCACTTTCGCTGCTGCCGTGAGGGTCAGTAGGGCCATCTCCGTAGAGCAAAGGCTTCTGAGGTCCAGCAGAACCCCTCCACCTCCCTTGTGGTCCCAAGCCTCTTCTAGAGGGAATCAGCCTCCTACTGTGCCTAAGCATCTGCTGATAGCACAGCCCCTGAACTGCACCTAAATTGCTGGTGTGGGGTTAAGGTGCCCACAGTACTTTAGATCCAGGCTTAAGGGTCCAGTGCTCAAGCCCCAGTTCAGGCAGCTGTTTTTCAGAGCACTGCCCCAAGATTGAAATGGATGTGTTTCCTCCCCTCCTGCAGATGTATATGCAAGGGACAGAAGACACTGTCAGCTCACTCTGGAGCCTAAAGGACAGATTTTCTTCCAAGTCTCTCATTTGACACATTGCCACAGGCCATTATGACGTCCGTAGTTTACAGCTGACAGTCCCAGAGCTCCCTTTAAGATTTCGTTAGGACAAATAAAGTCATAAAGCACATTTAGTTGGTGGTTTCATCCCCAGCACCCCACACACTAGGTGTGGTAATATGCACTTACAATCTCAGCCCTTTTTTTTTTTTTGTTTTTGTTTTTGTTTTTGTTTTTCGAGACAGGGTTTCTCTGTGGCTTTGGAGCCTGTCCTGGAACTAGCTCTTGTAGACCAGGCTGGTCTCGAACTCACAGAGATCCGCCTGCCTCTGCCTCCCGAGTGAGGTCAGAGTCTGCCCTTCAGAAAGCCTTGGCTACCTGAGATGTGTTTTTAGTTTTGTTTTGTTTTTCAAGATAGGGTTTCTCTTTGTCACCCTGGCTGTTCTGGAACTCGCAGAGATCTGCCAGCCTCTGCCTTCTGAGGGCTGGAATTAAAGGTGCATGCACCCACCACCCAGCGAGACCTTGGTTTTGAAAAAAAAAAAAAAAGAAAGAAACGACCATGCTCAAATGTGGAAGAACTAACCAGCGAGAGTGACAGAATAGGAAGCAACACACCACGATGCTAATGCGTAGGGCAGCGGGCATAAAAAGGCAGAGTCCCCAAGCCAATAGCTTCTTAAACCTTTTAAACTTACTAAGGCCGGGTGGTGGTGTACGCCTTTGATCCCAGCACTCGGGAGGCAGAGGCAGGCAGATCTCTGTGAGTTCGAGGCCAGCCTGGTCTACAAGAGCTAGTGCCAGGACAGGAACCAAAAAGCTACGGAGAAACCCTGTCTCGAAAAAACTAAAAAAAGAAAAAAAAAACCTTACTAAGCAGGATGTCTCCAACAAAAGTAGACACAGTCAGTTAAAAGTGAGACTAAACAGCTAACGTGCAGTTCTAGCTCTGAACAACATTGCAGTTGTCACCCGTGCTTTTACTATCTGCCTGAAATTCCTGCCATAAGATGGGTGTGTGTGTGCATGTGACTGCAAGAGCATGTGTGTAGAGGCCGGGGGTCTCCAATGTAGGTTCCAGATATCAAATTTATATCAGGCTAATGGTAAGCACTTACTTGCTTAGCCACCTCACCACCCATATAAGATTTTTTTTTTTTTTTTTTTTTTTGGTTTTTCAAGACAGGGTTTCTCTGTGGTTTTGGAGCCTGTCCTGGAACTAGCTCTTGTAGACCAGGCTGGTCTCAAACTCACAGAGATCCGCCTGCCTCTGCCTCCCAAGTGCTGGAATTAAAGGCGTGTGCCACCACCGCCCGGCCCTATAAGATGTTTTAAAAAAAAAAAATGTAGGCACAGCGGAAAGCTGAGGCGATGGCTCGGTTGGCACAGTTATGAGGATTATGAGATCCCAGCACCCGCATGCAAAGGCTGAGTGTAGCAGCATGCTTCTGTGATCCCATTTATGGGAGGTGCAGACCACAGTATTCCTGGGTCTCACTGGCCCGGAGAGTGTAGTGAAATACCCTGTCTCAAAAACTAACAATGATTGAGGAACACACCTGCATTCCTGATGTTGACCTCTAGCCTCCGCGAATGTGCACGCGCACGCACACACAGACACACGAGAGAGGGAGGAAGAGAGAGGGCAGCTGGAGGCCTCAAGCTAGTTCCCTTTCTGGGCGACTTTATCAAGTTAACCAACCTGTCCTTGGTTGTGCAAACTCAAAGGGATGCATGCACCCTCAAGTAGATCCGCAGCCAAGGACCTGGATCCGTGTAGATACAGGTGCACGTATTTCTCAGTGTATGTCGGAACAGCAGCTGTGTTACCCTATGGTTCTAAAGATAGAAGGCTGAAATTTGGCATGGGTGGGGTTTATTCCTGGAGTCTAGAGAAGATGGGCCTTCCTTGCTACCTCCAGCTCTTGGGTCCGAGGCATCCTTGCCTTGTGGTGGCCTCCCCTGGCTGTGGCCTCTCTCTTTTGTTTTGAGACAGTCTTGTGTTGCCCATGCTAGCCTTGTACCTGGGCTCACCAATGCTATCAGCCTTTCAGATAGCTGGCACCTCTCATCTTAGAATGACGCCGGGCCTAGGATTGGACCTGCCTAAATCCAAGATGATTACATTACATTACATCTGCAAAGTTTCTCCTCCAATGAGTTCACTTGTGTTCTGGTGGATGTGAACTGGGGGAAGGGTCAGTGTTCAACCTCTACATCAGTGTGTCCTTCTAAGGAGAGAAAGCCTCTAAAAGTGTTGGCCTGTCCATCTCAAATACCTGAACAGAAGCCTGGGGCAGCTGCAGTAGGACACAGCAATGTGTGGCTTGAAGCATCTAAACAGTCCTCTCCCTGCCCTGCATTCCCTCATCAAGACTCCTTTGCTTGGGACCAGGCTGGGGTAGCCACCAATCTCAGGACTAATGCATTCAGTGCTCTCTGCAAGCCGGGGGAGGAACTGAAGCTAGAAGCTAAGTCTGGGTCTCACTCTTGCTAAGGGTAGGGAGCCAAGTGCTGGTCCCTGCAGTTGCCGGACACTGACGACACTCTGTTCTCACTCTGAGGTTAGCCATCCTTCTGCCCGTATGTCTTACACAGATGGACATCACGGGTCTGATGCCTAGCCCTGCCTTCTCCCTTTGAAACTGACCCAGGTCTCCAGAGCCAGCTGCCAGCAAACTCTAGAATGACTCATGGACAGCAGTCCCTTGACTGACTCCCACAAAGGACTAACTATAGCTGTGTGACCGGGTTTACAGTTCAGCTCAGACGAGTATCGGAGGATGTAAAGGAGCCCAGCCTGCAACAGCCTACCCCAGAGTCTCCACATCCCCTGAGTGCCACAGCATCAGCCATACTTCCCAGAGAAAAGCCAGCAGTATCTCCTCTTCCTGGAAAACAATGTTGCTCTGCT